CACCAAAATCCCCCCTTTTCCCCATGTTTCAAAGGGTTTTAGTGAAGTTGCTGGAAGTTTAGCCGGGGAAGCCTTTGAACGGACAGGCTCTAACGAGTGGGGAAGAGCGTCAAAAAAAGAGACTGGAGACGCTTTGAAAAGGGAACGATCTGTCACTGCAAAGCGAAAAAAGAGGGAGGCGATTTCGGCCGCCCCCTCCTGCCGCAGGGATCCGGGCGAACGGGGCCGGCTGCCGCCCCCGGGGGGGCCCCGAACCGTCCCGGGGGGACTCCGAACTGTCCCCGGGGGGCCCGTCCCCGCCTTTCGCTGTGACGGCGGTGTGGCAAGAGGTAACTAACCCCCCCCCCTCCTCTAGCTTTTGGTAACGGGGTGTTTCCCTGCTCGGGGAGGGTGTTTGTGCGGTCCCCAAACGCCTCCCGGCCGCTGGCAGGGAGCGGGAAGCATCCCCCCCGCTTCCAGCCTTCATCCCCATCCACCCTGTCCGTCTGTCCGTCCCCCTCCCCGTCCTGGGGCACCCCGCTCCCCCCTTGCTGTGAAAACGGAGCGTTTGCCCTCGGGTCCCCCGTCCCCCCCACCCCGAGGCGAAAGGAGCTGAGATGCTGGAAGGCACCTGCCCCCCCTTTCCTTTCAGCAGCAGTGGGGAACCCAGGCTGTGCCCGGCTCTCTCCTTCGTGAAAATGAGCCGGTTTTTTTGCAAAATCTTAATACTTGTAGTAACAGCTCATTGGTGATTCTGTTAATGTTGCACACCTCATTAAATAGCCCCAAACATAAGGAGGTTTAAATGACTTTATTGAATTAAAAATAGCATAGGAAATCACCTATGGTACTTTCATCAAATAATTAATGTAAACTATATACATACAGTGAGAGATTCCTTTTAACAAATCTATTCATAAAACGCGCGGGGGTTTACTTAATGGCTGAAATAACTTAGAGCAGCACAACTCGCTTGAAACATCGAGCCACACTCGTGCACTTCCTAATATGTTCCTGTATGTTTCCCTGAGTGTTTTTCTTCCTTATCTTTTTTTATATCTGAAGTTCTATTCCCCTCCTCTACTCCATGTATTTGATCATTTTTTCAAGTCCCTTGGCTGAACCAATCTCTTTTCATGCAGAGGATAAAAAGAGAAAAACTTCAAAGTAGGTTCAGGTAATTAACAGCTGAGGGGAATATAATCTAAACCATAGGCCCTGCTTTGCACCCAGGTCTGCTTTCAGAGCCAGCCGGCAAGGGAGTGCCTATTCCCTATAGCATCCAAATCTGCTTCCTCTGAACAGCTTTGCCAGGCCTCCAGTTATCACATCTGCATTTCAAACACCATGTCTCTGGCATTAATTATTAATTAGCCTACAGTCACCCCAGAGGATTTAAGTTCCAGCCTGCACATACTTATTCATTGACCTCTATCTTAGTTTTTGTTGGAAAAAACCCACTAGAATGCTTAATAATTTCCTTTCTCTCAGACCCTCTGTTCTAGTTTCATGGAGGGGAAACAGTATATTTTCAGAGATGGAAAATCACAGGGTTGTCTAGAAATTTGTTTAGAGCAAAACGCTATGTCAAGAGTTTGAACAAACCGTTTCAAAAGGTTTAGCAGGAATTTTGCGTAAGTATTTTTTTACCTTTGACAAATGAATTTATGGATTTCCCAGAACTGAGAGATGGTGGATACAAATACAACGCGGTTCGGCTCTGTGCGGAATATTGCTCGGTGTGCGCTTTACAAATACAAACCGGATTAATTACCGCGTAGCACATTTATATGATCAAACTAATGCAAACGTTTGTTTGAAAGCTCTGGGGTTACACCGTTATTGACACTAGTAAGAACCAAGAAAATGCTGTTGCAGGGCACATTAGTACTTGGGCATTAAAGATGCACTCCGTCCTCAGGAACACGGAGTGTATTTTGTAACTGGTTTGCATCCTTCCCAAGGTACTTTGGAAGATGCTCTTTAGTCATTAGAATAAGTACTGCTGCTTTCTTGGCTGCTGTGTATCTCGATATTAAGGTTCCAGAGGTAAAAAAAAAAAAAAAATCGGAGTAATCAGGTAGGAACTAGGTTATATGATTCTCTTTTTCGCAATGCTACAGGAAATTCGAAGTGATTGTTACAGTCTGGATGGGTTGTATACTGGATACTGCCTTTTGTTAATGTATTTTAATACTACAATGTCCCAACCCCCTGAATGAGTCCTATTTTAATGCCTCATGCAATTATCCATAGATAAACTTCCTTAAGTATTGCCACGGTTTCTCATTTTTATATGTGGTGGTACTCTCTCAAATAATCATTGAAACATAAAATATTCCCCCACTTTGTTTCCTAAGGAAGTGTTTAGTCTGTAATCACGAGGTCAGACTGGTTAACTTCTATGCCAGCCTAGAATTGATTTTTGAAAGCATTTAATCTCCGCCTAAGACTCTTTTGAATTTCTATTTAGTGGAGAATATGGAAAAGAGGTCTGATGCACAAACATACGTAGTTAAACTGCCGGGCTATCTCGGTAAACAAAAATGCATTTTTCCAAAATTGCAGATAAAACAGCCCTTTCTGTAAAACCACAAGCCTTGTGTGTCTGCGCTTCAGCAAATGATCACCTGAAAATAGATGTAGGGACTAATGCTGCTGGCTTCCATGAGGGATCTCCCTCCTTCACTTCCCTGGGAATTTTGAAGATCTGTCTTGTTCCTGCTCTTTTATTATCTTCACCTTTTATGAGCAGATCTGTGAGGCGTTCGGCACTGAATAGTAAATATTTTTGCCTCTGCTTCAAATATTCAGAATAGTTCTTACATACGATTTAACATCGCAAGTACCTCTGTTTCAGAAGGAAGAGAAGAATAGGCAATACCTCAAATTCCATTTCCAGAAAGATTATTCCTGTTTATAAAACAACAGAACGTACCTTGATGCTGAAGAGGGGAGTAGATGTAGACTATTATAATAAGGTGTCCAGGACCTTTTAATCACTTCTACAGTGATACTAATAACAGTGATAATGGAAAAAAAAAACTAGTGTGAAACCAGGGCTGGAATCTATTCTTTCTAAATGTCAGAGTGTTTCTGGAATTAAAATTTAGCTGCTAATGTAGCTCCTTACCTTATGAATATTAAAGAGGAGTAAGGACTAAATTTCTTCCACAGCAGAGTAGCGTGAGATGTTGTTTTAGAAAACAAATCACATGGCAGCTTGATTTGCAGTGATGTATCTGGTGTGTTTTTAAAGGATGGCTAAGACTAAGGGCTGCTGGGTTGGGATCTGGCTGGTTTGAGCCCTCTGATGCTGTCTTCTCATTTTTCCTGTTGTTTTCATTTATTGACTGGGATTGCAGGTTTGACCAGGTTCTTGAGATAGAGGTTCTGTACCCCAAGACTGGAAAACTTCTGTTATCAGTACCATTCCATTAAGTTTCCTTTTTTTTTTTTTTCTTTTTTTTTTCCCTTTTTTTTCTTTTTTGTGGTTGTAGTGCCAGGAGTGAGAAAAGCATGAATGTACATATAGAGTGGGTTTGACATGTTATGAAATATTTGTACTGTTCTTGTTTTAAGACGTGAATTTCCATAAGAAGCCTCTTTTATGGTTCATGATATATATTTTTATATATATATATATATATGCATTTATAGTTTTCCGTTAAAGCTTAAATGTTTTACTCTGCTGTTAGGCTAAGACCTAACCCTTGGCAAGTCTGGAAATGCTCTGACCCCTGTTCTTTTTATACCCTTCACTTTTTTCTTTTCAAATAACACAAGCAGTAGTTTTAGAGTAGTGACTGGCATCCACCAGGAACTGAGCTGAAACTGCATTTTGTGTTTTGAATGTTTCACGTGAACATGTTTTGAATTCAGATTTGTGGCTTGCAGACCACTTTTTATTTAGAGAAGCCACATGGGTGATTCTGATTTTCAATTACTTGAAGAGTGATTATAGAAAGAGTCTGTTGATCACTTGTGCATCAGAAGTCCACCGACATCTGATAAAGTCCTGGTTGTTGTGTTGAAGGAGTCGTGCCCACCTGTGTGCTTACTAGTAGGTGGAAAAAACCCTCTTATATAAAGAGTAGGTGAAGGTGGAGGTCACTGTAGATATTACTGTGTCAGCAGAAATGGGCTTTTATTGGATTTAGAAGAGACTGTGGGGCCAGATCTTCAGCTGACACAAATGGGCGCAGCAGTGTTGACATTCGGTGAGCGAGGCTGAGTTACATGAGCTGGAGATTTCCGTAGTCTAACCAAAAGATTGTATGAGCGATATCAGAATTATTTTGCGTAATGTCTGAAATAATCTGGGCCCACAGAAGATAGTTTGCCGCCTTCAGAGTGGAGTGCGGTAACGCTGCAACCTGACCTCCGATGTGCAGGGGGTGTCGCGTACCTGACGTGATGAGGGCACGGACAGGGATTATCAGTGAGGAGCTGACAGATGCCCGTGACAGAGGAGATGTCACAGATATTCAGACTGTGTGACGACAGCTGTTGAACAGTGACTTTTGCACGGTGACCATTACCTGAGGTGCTCCTGCAAGCGCTGTGGAAAGGCGTATGTGTACTGAGAGCGCCGAATTCCACCTTGAACTCCGTGAGACCGTATCATGCCTGTACTCCTAAACTTTGCTTTTAGCCATCTCGGTCCTAAAAAACCCCAAATGTAAGGTCCTTAGGCCCCTTGCTGACCCCAGCCCGGCGCTTCATGGCACGGCATAAACCGGGGCGCTTTAATGATTTCTAAAGAAGCTCTCGGGCTCAGGCTGGCAGCGGTCCAGCCCGCAGCCCCCCTGCTCGCTACGAGAGCAACCTGCAGCCGGGTTTGTGTGACGGTTCCTGCCTCGGCCCAGACCTCCAGACCTGCCTCTTGACCCTCCGGCTTCACCCCGAAACACCCGGGCATCCCGCTGGGTGCGGAGGGCTGTCAGGGCAGTGTCGTGGCCACTCTCTGCAGCCTTCCCCTGCCTAGAGGCTCTTTTCTTGGCAGTGCCTGTGTGTAAAGTTTTAAAAGACTTTACAGAGTTTCCCTTCCTCCGCTATATGTTTTCCTTTTCTTCTTTATTTTATTTCTCCCCCCGCTCCATTCATAAATCACAGGGGCTCCATTTACTGCCTCTGCCGTGGGCTTGAGTTTGGTGTGGAATGAGTTAATGGGGCCAGGCTGACACTTAAGGTAAATTGTCACAGTTTGGGTGACTTTCTATCATCTGGGAATCCAGCCCACTGGTTGCAAATAACATGCTTACTGCAATTAAACACTTGATTGCCAAAATGTGAACAGCATATTTAAAAATTGTTTGTATACATAAAACAGCGCACGCAACCCAAAGAA